ACTCTAATATAAAGTAATCTTTTTGTTTTTTAGGAATTTATAGTTTACAATGGGAAACGTTAGGGGAAAGAATTTATTGGACGGAAGCGAAACATAGTGTCATTTCTGTGTCAATTTCACCAACACAGGAACACCTTTTAGTAGGTTTGGCAAGAAATATTTTTCAAGAAAAGTATACTATGGCTAGTATTTACAGACTAATGCATAAAAAATCCCAAAATCAAGATGACGATAGACCATGTATTCAAGACTGGAATATTCACAATATAGAAAATTATTTAAATTTTAAAAATATAAAAAAGAGTATGTTGCTTGTTAGAGAATTATTCCCAAATAATCAATCAACTACAGGACACATAAGTATAAATTGCATTAGGTGGGCGCCACAACCTGGGCAAGGACTAGTTTATGCCACTAACACTGGACAGTTAAATATTCTTCATTAATGTATTTATAATATTGACATAAAAATAAAACTTCAACTCCGTATTGATGTAATTGTTTTATTGGAAAAAATTATGTATAGAGACAGAAATTTATTGTCATATATCTTTCAACAAAAAATATGTCGTAAGAAAATAACGAAACTTATAAAATATTATTGCGTAATACAATAAGTAATCTTTTTTACCAATTTGTAAAATAAAATAAAGACATGTTATATGTTCCGCCAGTTATTTAATTATTTAAAAATTATTGAAAATTTTATAAAAGTCAATAAGTCATTAATGTTATGTTTCAAATTGCTCTTTGAAATATTTTAAATTTAATTTTGGTTTCACTTTAACGTTATTTTCATTGTCCAATCCTTTTTTTGTAAATATTTTCATTTCCTTCATTAAACAATAATGTTACAATACTGATGCACGTTTATTAAAAGAAAGTGAAGTGTAGTTAAATAAAAGCGTCATACAAATTTGTATTTTTGGGAATTTTACTAATTTTATTATGTTAATAAACATTATAAGGAATAAATTTACATTGTATAACATACATAACTAATATAGAAATTGATAAGTCTAGATTTTTATATTGTTAAGCGGTTTCATCAACAGTAATAAATCAATATTATCTCATATTAAACATACACAGTATTAATTTAGTAGTGCTTGTAATATTATACTTAATAAGTGAATGAAAATTCATTCTTACTACTATCACATTTAATGCATCACATTGTATAAAATGACTTATAAAATAATTAAACAATCTTTGTTTAAACTATAACTCATGTACAAGGTGTCCCAGGGAATTTGGTAAACTGTATTTTTAAAACAGATATAGAAAAAGATTGTTATAAGGTAAAGTGGAATGGTATTAGACGTTGTATGTTTTTATATTAATTTTATGTCAATATATATCAATAGGGGACGAAGGACCAATGTTCGACGGCGACGTTGGTGAGGCCGTGAATGGACTTTGGATCAAGACAACAGCATTGGGAGGGGGACAGGAAAGCCAGGGTAGGTAGGGTACAACTATGGAGCAATTTGTGTGAAGGGTCCCCGCCAATTTCTACCCTTGGGAACAGGTGTATGGAGTCAGAATGGAAGCTGGCCGAGGGGAGGTTCCTACCGGATACATAGTAGGGATACCCCTAGAGACTCGGTGATGACTAGAACTTTTACAAGGGGTTCTAGAGTGACAACGACGGTACATCTAACCATCGAAAACCGTCGGCGGAGACGAAGAACGTCTCTTCAACCATTCGAAGTAGAGGGAAAGCCCTAAGTGTTGCCGCAGGAAGGATGGCCGCCAGGCTTAAGAATATGGCCTTGACGGTACAAGGTTTAATTGAAAACGATCATAAGAACGTGGGTGTCGGCAGTTGCGAGGGCGATCCTCAAAGGTGGGGCGGGCTCGAAGCAGCTCAAGGCCTAGACGCGCGATTTCCAGGACATACTGTGCATCCATGAGAAGATGGCATGACAAAGGAATGCAGGTCATACCCCCATTAGCCCACCTTTTCTAACACAATCATAGAAATCGAGCACACGTATCGTCATTAGTGGCCGAACGCGATAACATCGACGAATCGGATCATTTAGCACTGCATGGAGGAAGACTTTGGCGGTACGAGTAAAGTATCCCCGTTGCCTCTGTGTGATTGTAAACTTAACACTTTACTGGCGGCGATCACGTATGAGTGACTTCGGCGGCCAGCGACTATCGGCGGGCATCACATATGCGTGATTTCAGCTGTTGGCACTCTTCGACTGGCGTTCTGTGTGATTACGATATTTCCTATATCCTCTTTTCATTTTGAAAAAGTCGTTCGTCCAGTTCAGATCGTATTGTGAAGCCAGTTCCATTCTAACTTATATTTTCTTCGTTTGATATTTAAAAGTTAAACAATTTTTAAATCTCAAAATGCCGCGCAGGAGTAATGAAGAGAATATATACGCCGATTCTTTGTCGAATTTCGATAGTGATAGTGATGAAATGACAGATATTGATGAAGACAGTGGAATCGGTGTCATTGTAAGACGTTTCAAATCGATCCGATTGCCGAGTTATTCTGGTAACGAAAGCAACGAAAACAATTTTGATGATAATAGTGAATAGCAACAATAATAACGATAGAGGACCGAATAAAAGGAAAGATTGGATTGACATAAGCAAAACAGAAATGGAAAAATTTCTCAGCCTGATTATCCTAATGGGTTTTGTAAAACAAATCTGAGAGAGATGAGTATTGGTCCACAGACTCTTTACTTTCTACACCAATTTTCGCCGATACGATGACAAGGGATAGACTTCGTCAAATATGGAGATACACTTAAATAATAACGAACGTTGTAAAGATAGATTGGATAAAATTGAATTCGTCACTTCATATTTTCGGGAAAAATTTCTGACTATATAAACCAAAAAGAGAACTATCGCTTAATGAGAGTATTACACATTAGAGGGGAAGACTCTCATTTCGGACATATAACCCGGCCAAAATAACGAAGTACGGAATTCTAGTGCGCATGGTGTGTGAAGGTACGACGGGTTATATTTGTAATTTTGATGTATATTGTGCACAAGGATATAGACTGAACACTACCGTGCATTTATTATTGCAACCATTCATAAATTTGGGGCACGTAGTTTACATGGACAACTACTATAACAGTATACAAATAGCAGAGGAATTGTAAAAAAAAAAAAAGAGAGAGAGAGAAAGAGAGAGGAATGTATGGAACACTGAGGAATAGAAGTGTGCCAGTTTGCGTGAGAGATATAAAGCTGGACGAAAATGCAATAATTTTCCGTAGGAGGAATAATGTCTTGGTGCAAGCATGAAAAAAAAAATGCTATATATGATAACCACAGTACGTCGTGCAAGTATAATTGATGTTGTAGATACCCGAAGAAACCGCAGGACAAGTAAACCAACCTGTGTAATGGAGTATAATAAATACATGAAGGGCGTAGATCGCGCGGATCAATACTTATCCTACTATTCGATTTTTCGAAAAACGAAAAAATGGAGTAAGAAAGCGGCACTATTTTTTATAAATTGCACATTATTTAATGCACACCAAATGTACAAGAAAACAACGGGGAATAAAATTACCTTCAAAAAGTTCTTATTAGCTGCTGTTCGGAAATTGTTGAGTTCAACGCCAGAAAGGTAAGAGCCACAGCCCAGTAAGTTGAATGCTCGTATGATATTGACATCACCGACAATTTCAATTTTCAAATAAGTACTTCCACATCGCAGACGCAAAGGGTAACTAAATACGATCCAGTGGATAGAATATGTGGAGACATGAAAAAACACAAAATTACGAAAATAATAGGAAAAGGGACCAATGAAAAGCCAAGAAGAGCCTGCAAGGTCTGCACTGCAGGGAAGAAACGTGGCTCTACGGCATTTATGTGTTCTTCTTGTAAAATACCGCTTCATGTTGGAAAATGCTTCGAAAAATATCATACGTTACAAAAATATTAATACTTTAATTAATAAAAATGTATATAACTTATAAATGAGTACGATTGTTATATAATTATCAATAGTTTTAATGGCTGCATTTTAAATGAAGTGTTAAAGATGAGCTGACCTCTAAGCGTACCGCCGAGAGCCTTCGAGAACAGCTAAAGGTGTGAGCGTCGGAGGCTGAAGAACACGTGCGGACGGTGGTCAGCAATGAGTCTGCAAGCGCTAACGCGTGGTTGGCAGGAAGAGACAATGTGGTAGAGAATGAGATCAAGTGGTAGGCAAGACACTAATTTCTTCCGGAAACAGAACCCTTTTGCTAGATCGACACGTCTGTATCCACTGCATCCTCTTTGACCTCCTCGGTAAGTGCAACCAGGATGTGGAAGTAAGCTGAACCTTTACAGCCAAGGAATAGAGTGCCTTAATTGCAAATCTACTCGATTACAGGAATGAGGGTACGCCGTAAGTTTTTGGTACGTAATTAATGCAGAAAAATGTATGCGATCTTATAAGTATTAATATGCAGATTATTCATTTATAATTTTTAAACATAAATAATCATGATATTGTTTGAAATAAGTAATTAATTGGATTATGAAAACTATCCATCATCATATAATAAACTATGCAATAATTCAGGAGTTTCTGGTTGTTTCAAACAAAGTGATACTTTGTCTTGTACATTTGCCGAATATTTATTTTGTTCTAGGTGACCAAGACCACGATCCAGTATCGTCTCGATTTCGTCATCAATATATAAAGAATTTTCGTATAATTTTGAAGCATATGAACTACTCTGCTGTGTAGAATTTATAGTCTCGTTTATTGTGTTCTGTAAGTCAATTTCTGACATGTTAACTGTATGAAAAGTATTTAGTGTTGTAGGTATATCACAGTCAATCATTTGATTATTGTACTGAGTTTGTCTTCTTATTTCAGTAACAGAACCATGCATTTGGTGGTACTTTACCTGGTGCACTTTTAAATTGCCAGTTTGCGAAAATGTTTTCAAACAAAAAGTACAATGATACGGTCTTTCGCCAGTATGACATCTTGAATGCCTTTGTAATTTGTATTTTGTCACAAACTGCTTACCACATTCTAAGCATGTAAATGAATTATTCTCTATTTGAAAATTTTGATTGTTGACAGATTGCTCCATATCCATATGAAAATTTATCATATGAGATTTTAATGATACTTTATAACGAAATGACTGATGGCAATTTGCACATTGAAATTGCTTTTTTCCTTCGTGTCTTTCTTTATGTTTCATTAATATTTCTTGTTGGTTAAAAGACATTTTACAAATCTGAAAATATTATCACATTACTAAAATAAGTAAAATACTATTTTCACGATTTTTTACTATTCTTCTTGATATAAACTAAATAGTTTTTTATCATTATTTTAATTCAAATTTATATCATTATAGAAGTATAAAAGTTTATTATACTATCTTCACTTAATTATACTATCTTACGAACATTGCAAACAAAAGGTCTTTGTCCAGTATGAATACGTTTATGCCTGTTTAAATGTGCTTGACATCTAAAACTCTTAGCACATATTGGACATGTACTTTTTTTTGCTCCTTGCTTATTTAATGTACTTTTTGATATTGTATCATTTTCTTTCAATTGACATAACATATCCTGTAAATACAATAATTTCATACTTGATAGGAAAAGTGTCAACTAATAATCATAATCATTAATGTACAGTTAAACATAAATAACTAAATTATTTTATACTTCTGCAAAATCAATTTCCAAAGAGGGAGCAGCAAGCTGTTTTTGTACATTTGCTACCATTAAGCAAAACTCATCGAATATATAAATCTTTTGTTCACAGTCAATACAAACATATTTGGAAAATGCATCAGAATTTGAAATATTTATCACCTGTAACAGGAGAAATATTAAAATAAATTAAAGAAAAACTAAATTTTATACAGTTCCTCTAACTTTGTCTGTAAACAAATCTGTGCCTTGCTGTTTTTCTTTGCCACAAAGGCGGCATAGTTTCAAGTTTGTTTTATGTAACATCATTGTTCCTCTATCACAATCACAACTTTAATGAACTTCTACAAAACTGATGACACCAATTATGCAATTTCGCAGAATATTATTGGGTTGGAACAAAAGTTCATAGCATTTGTCAAACTACCTAGACTAGTTCATTGTCCAGAAAAATGCCAAGTTCATGGAAGATGGAATCAGGAAACTGCCTCAAAGATGGCGAAAGGTAGTGGAACAAAATGGCATATATGTGGTTGAATAAATCTATGTACAAATATTTAAACATCATCTTTGAGTTTCACTTAAAAAACGTTACGAACTTTCGTTCCAACTCAATACATACAGCTTTGTAAACTATTTTACATTTTTCAGTACAACAGACAGTTTTGTTGTTAATTCAAACATTACACGTACATTTCTAAATATTTTTTTATCATGCTATTCTTTCACGTAACTCATGTATATGTACAATCTTTTTATTTGTACAATTTAATACAACTATGCAACTAGTTTTTTTATATAATTTTCCCGTTCAGTATACAGTGATCCCTCGAAAACCGCAGGGGTTAGGAACGCCGACTGACCGCGTAGATGGAAATTCGCGTTGTTGGAAACTCCCCCCTCTTCCCGTCTTCATAAAAAACTGAAAAACATTTATACTCTTCTAATGCATGAGCATATATTTACACACCCCCACGCACGTATTATGTAATTATTTAAATGTACCTTCTTTTAATTCAGAGTGACATATTGGTCATTTGATTTTTCTTCCAAGTTCGGCTGTTCGTTATATTATATATTTGAATTCGGTGCCTCTGTTTTCTGTATGCAGCGGCAATTTGTGAGGAATTAGTCACGCAAACGAATTCGCATTCGCTCTTTTTTACCTCTCTTATTCACCATCATAAAGAAAATTGTAAATGTATGCTAAATGTGTAAATTGATTCGAAATGAACGAAAGTTTTCAAGAAAAAGAAAAAACCGGGTTATTCGAAACCGAATTGTTCGGGGGAGCACTGTATACTACTTACTTGTTTAGTACTACATATGATTACTGCTTCTCAACAGTGGTTCTCAACAAAAACAATGACAGATCAGAAACTATGAATTGATCGTGAATTAAAAAAAAGAAATTATCATACCGAATACTGATACAATTTTATTATTTTATTTTTTTTTTAGACAAAAGTAATACATATACATTATCTCTAAAAAATGTTTTGTAATATATGTATATATAGCATATTCTTCACAAGTGTCAGACCGCAAGGAAGCTAAACCTGACACTCGGAGAGTCAGGGACTACGTTTTCAAGCCTCGCGCCTGCCTTTGTAGTTTGCCGAACGTAGACAAGGACAGCGAAGAAAAGATAAGAATGAAACGTGAGTCGAGGCAACCAAGCGATTTAAATATCAACTTTTTTAATTTTACGTTTTTTTATCCCAAAAT